AAGCTGACAAAAATATGTCTGGACGACCAGCAAACCGCATTCCTCACTCTTTTTTTGTTATTTGTTTTATAACAAATAGAGGAACAGTAAAATGGGCTGTGAACTTGGAGTTGCTTCCTGCCTCTGTTCCTAATCCAGCCTCAATATGTCACACAAACTTATTTAAGCCTCTGAGAGCTGTTACATATTTGTCATCATGTAGAACAGGATTGATATGATCTTCTTCATAACAAGGAAGAGCAAAAACAACTAGACAGGCTTATCTGTCTTCTGACTTGATGTCTTAATTTCTTTTCTTTTTTAAATTTAGATGTGTGAGATTGGGACGGAGATGAAGGAGTTTGGTCAAAGCGGAGCAGTAATTACAGTAAAGGGAGCTGAAAGGGTTCAACTGAATGACATTAGCCAGCTGAGGAAGATAAGTAGTTCTGTAAGGTGTGAGATACCACCCACCCAGGCCTCAGCCCATGATAATACTCACCGGTATGTGATTTTAAAAAGACCCCAAACAGGAATTTTGACTTTTTTCCAACTTTCTGCCAAAAACCAAAGTTTAAAATCAGAAATTCAATAAGCCAAACACTAGGTTTCTATAACTAAAAAACATTTTACTTAAAACATTTAATAGTTGGGTTTTTGCCCCTGATTTTACTGTAGAGTGTATGATCCCTTACACATCTGACATCCATGGAAAATTCCAAAACCTCTGATGTTGGGAAAATTTCCTGTGGACTGATGAGAGAAAAGTGGGACTTACTGGAAGGTGTGTGTCTTACTAATACTAAAACAACATCATTCCAACAGCCAGACATGGTGGTGGTAGTGTGATGGTCTGGAGCTGATCTGGTGTTTCGGGACCACCTGCTGCCGCTGATGGAACCAGGAAATCTGCTCTCTAAGGAGAAAATCTGACCTTTGACCTTTAACAGGCTGCTCCTGCTGGAAACCCCTCCACAATAGGGCCGTTACCACTATCGGACCTTCAGGGTAATTTTAACAGAGCTTTGCAGCATCTGTGGGTCCATTTCAACATCCCGGCCCAATCGGACCACTTTCCGTGCCATTTCAGAAGCCAGCAGAGTACTTGAAATGGAGAAATGGCCCAGTAGAGTCGCTTAAGCTTGGTTTATGCTTGACGCATTTACTTTCCGCTTGGTGATGCGGCTCGCAGATGGAATGCGCTCCAAAACTTGCAGCGTTTATGGTTCATGCGGCTTGTCTCTGCGGTGAGCCAATATTCTCCCAAACTGAACGGGGCAACATGGAGCTCTGCGGCATGCATCCAACACTACACCATAGTAGAAGTAGAAATTACTGTTTACAACATGGCATTTCAGCATTTTTTAACAGCGTCCTCGTCTTTTCCGACAGTGCGAGCTATTTCTCTCCAAGAATTATTAACGACATGTTGATCATGTGATCTTTGAGAGCTGAATCATACAAATGTCTGTATTTACGAACCTCTGCCATACTAGTTCTGGACAGTCTGCCATGTTTTTCCGCGTCCGACCGTCTGCGTGGTTAGAAAATTTCCTAGGTGCGCGGTGCGGAAAGTTTGGGCCGTGCAGAGGCGCGGTGGAGGGGCGTGGTTGTAAAAATGACGCAATTTTGCCGCGCGGAGCCGTGCGGACGTCAAGCATAAACCGAGCTTAAGTGGGACTCATGCTGATTGGTTGTAACTCAACAAGAAACGATATCGGCAGACAATGCCAAGACAACTAAGTTACTGGTGAAGCAGAATACATGGTAAAGAAAATAACTGGCATTTGTGCTGCTTTAAAATCACTATTTCTAAACTCTCAAAGCCAAAAAAATGTGACAAAAGCCACTCCCACAACACTGCAATTCATGGCTTTGTTGTCTCACAGAGCCCTTCTTATGGTCTTTGAACAGCACTTTTTATGTCATGCAGACACTCTCCCAGTCCTCCCAATGGATTAAAATCTGTGGACGCCTTTTGACACTCAATGCATCTGCATGCACACTGATGGACATCTAAGTCGACCCTATGGTAATAAACCTCCAGATGATCCCCCAGACTGTTGGGAAAATATTCCGTGGACTGATGAGAGAAAAGTGGAACTTTTTGAAAGGTGTGTGTCTTACTAACACTAAAACAACATCATCCCATCACTTTTGAAATGCGAGCGTCCAACTGGTTTGGTTCCACTGACTCATTTACATGCAAAAAGAATTTGGATTCCTACTGCAGTATCTGGGTGCTTCAATTTGCCTTCAACCAGATTAACGCCTTTACAAGCATTCAAAAAACAACATGAGTCTTGTTAGGGCAAAACTTTGGTTTACTGATGCGCATGTAAACACACTGACTGATCAGTGACGTCACTCACTGCCAAAGCTGTCGCTATATCCTAGCAATGTCTTGGCAATGTCCTGAAAGGGCCGATTTTGTATGAAGACACAAAGGCTGAGAGGACCGAGTCATCGTGTCTCCTGGTCAATTTTCCTCCTCCCTGAAATATCCCAGATCTCCTAGAGTGGAAGCACGGTTCTCGATGTTAGATTTATGACTAGTGTCAGTGCATGCCTCCAGGGCTTTTAAAACCAGTTATTAAGGTTTGGGGGCAACAACTTTTTCCCCGTAGACTTTTAAATGAAATCATCATTTGAAAACTGCATTATTTTTAATTTACTCAAGTTAGCTTTGTCTGATATTAAAATTGCAAGAAAAAAATGTCTGTGAGAGGCAGATACCTCCACAGACCTGTCGCAGCAGAAGACACATCTTATTCCAAATGTTTTCAAAAAGCTCAAAGATGATTCTGTCAATAAATATAAATGACCACAGTAAAACGGCACGAGAAGGCAGTAATGAGTAATGAAAACAGCCGAGTTAGTGCTGCCATTCAGCAAAGGGCCTGGTGCTGTGGAATGTGAGGCGCCATTCATCCACATGGGTTAAAAATGCATTTCTGCCACCACAAAGGCCGGCCTTGTGCTCATTGTTTCTCACCATGCCAATAAAACACTTCCATAATCGGAAGGAACAAGAGGAAAAATGCATGCGCTAATTTGGCAGAGAAGGAAATAAAAGGAGGCGTAAGGGAGTAGGGTGAACGGCGAAAACAAGAAAAGAGAGGAGGGGGGCTCTTTAGGAGAGATAAAGAGTCATGTTGGAGTTTAAAGTTTGATCATGATAAGCCTGTGGAGGGTGAAAGCAAACGCACGAGCACCACACTAAAGACAAACAGCCCCATTGATGCAGCGGTTATTCTCTGTATGAAAAGGCAAACAATGGAAGGAGATCAAGAGCAGAAAAATCTCCACTCGAGTCATTTGTGAGGTCTCCGGGGATCTGATTGTCAAAGAAAAGGCGAAGCAAACCTTGTTTCTTTTTCCTGCAACATCTGTAAAACAAAGGCACAAGCACACGTCACATCTGCAGACGTAAAGTGATAAAATAGACCCGTCACTGTCCCTGCGTACAGAGCTCAACAAGTGTCCTGACAAATCAGCCTTTTGTTAGCAAAACAAAAATGTTCATTGCAAAGGTAGGAAACAGGAGGGTGATGTTTTGGGGAATCGTGTCTGGGGAAACAGCAGTCAGTCACATGAGATTTAGCGTGTGCTGCAGGCTCAGAGCACCAAAAGCTGGTGAGTCACGTCAGACCAGATTAGCTAAAGTTGTCTCCATCCCACATCTAATGCTCATCAAGTCGTCTTCCAAAAACACACAATAAACACCTCAAGTGTTGGGGTAAAACGGATGCCTGATTTTTTTCCCCCCATCTACCTTTTCTCTGAAAGTAAACCAGAACCGACGAGTACAATAGCCATCAGATAATCCTGTTTGTTTACAATCTGCTGTTTGAAAAAATCATGAGGTCTGGGTGGCGATCATTCCTATTTTTATCTTTAGATCACTACCCATCATCACCTGAAAACAGCAGCTGTGTGGTGCTGTTTACCACCCAGTTATCATTTAAATAATAAAAAGTTTGGTCGCTGGGCCATTGGCCATGGTGACCAGAGCCGGTGGAAAATGTTAAACATACAGTCATGTCTGCTAACTGACATCAGGGAGACAATGTAATCCTGTCTGCAAAACAACATGCTGTCTCCCTCCCTCTCTCCCTCCCTCACCCACTCACTTCTCTGTTTCTTTCTCTTTCTGTGTGACATCACAGTCAAAAAAAAACTGTGCTTCCAGAACACCTTAAAGGAGTAAAGGTGAGATTAATCAAAAACTGAAGGAACGGCAAATAAAAGCTAGTTTGGTCCAATTAAATATAAATAAATAAATATATAAGTCTTTGAGTTTCTGTGTGTGTGTGGGGGGGGGTTCTTTCTTCTGTGGGAGATCACACACACACACACACACACACGCGCGCATATTAGATCCCTTTTATTTTTCCCTAAACTGATGAAGATGGGACTGTCGAGCACCCCTCAGGCATGCTCACACTCCTCTTTCTTGAGTGTGTAAGCTCTGCTTTACCTGTCTGTGGTGATAACACGGACTGCTCCTGAAGGAAGTTCAAAATCACAAAATGCTTCCTTTAACTTTTTCCTTGTCTGTTGCTTTAACGATGACTCTGCTTCTCGTGTATTTTATTCTGAAACCAGCTGCCTCGTTTTACTGCATGAGAACTTTATAGCATTCTCGTGCTACTTTATAACACTGTAAGATAATAAAACTGTGGGTTTTCTGTCAAATGTCCTGGTGCGACACTAACACTAATAATATTTAGTATTTTTTATCATCATCATCATCATCGTCATTACTATAGTATGTGTATTTTAGACTCTTATCGGACAAACATTCCTTCAAACAACCCTTATCTCCACTGGAGCTCATCAACTTTCAGATTCTGTTGCTGAATAAATTTGAGAAACTTTTTAAGGAAATGAAGTTAAAACAAAAACAGTGCTATAAATTGTCAAACTGTAACTGCAGCAGTACACGCGCGCGCACGCACACGCACGCACACACACACACACACACACACACACGAAACAATACACAGCCACTTTCCTACCAATTACAACGCGAGCCAGCTCAAAAACTCAGACCGGAGCAGTTCTCCAAAAACAAAATCCAGATCCAGCAGAGACTCCGGCTGAGGGTCCGCGATGTGTCCCAGTGCTGTCAGCAGCGAACCGAACCAAGATCGACCGAATCTTGACGAAATTGTGTTATCTCTGCTGAATTCCTGTCTCCTGGCTGTGCTCTCACAGCACAGGTCTCTCTCTCTCTCTCTCTCTCTCTCTCTCTCTCTCTCTCTCTCTCTCTCTCTCTCTCTCTCTCTCTCTCTCATATATCGTTTCGCTGCTGGTGCCTTCAGGTGTTGTCGGAAATGTCACTATCCAGAGTTAAAACAAAAAATAAACTGTTTACATTAATTTCGCAAGGAGATTGATCAAAAAGAAGACGTAACTCGTTTTCCTTGACATTGTTGGATTCCTTCTGCAGAGGTCAAAGTTTATTCATCTTTAGAGATAATGATGTTATCTTTTGATTAATATCATTTTTTTCTTCAGATAGATTTTTTTATTTTTTATAATTCAGTACTGATTTGGTTTAGTTTGTTGTTATAACACCAACGCCTTCCCTGAGATAAATAAATAAATGAATAAGTAATCTTTGACATTACACTGAGCTGATTCCTAGCTGTTCCCTATCACGTGTGAGAACTTTGGAATGGCGGAGCTTTTTGGGAGCGCCTGAATCCACCTTAAATGGAAATAAGCTCCAGATCTAGTCATAAAACAAACAAATGAAAGGAGCAGGAAAAGTTTGTCCCTGCGGTGTTCGTCCTTGTCACCAAACGTCAGTCTCTGCTCGGGAAACGCGCATTCTTCTGTCTCTTTGTTTCATTTATGTCTCGAGCGCTTCCTCTAGAGGAGGATCAGCTGGCGCGTGCACGTGTGTGTGTGTGTGTGTGTGTGTGTGTGTGTGTGTGTGTGTGTGTGATTATAAAGTACAATCCTCGCTCCATATGCGCAAACGGTTTCTTGCGTGAATAAACGCACGTTCACAACATCTGTGATCAGCCTCCAACACGTCTGTGCACGCACGCGCTCGAGGATCGGCACAGTCACCTGTTCATGCCAGAAACCCGCTGCGACCGCGGTGGATGGTTTTGCGCACGCACATGCAGCTCACGCCCGCGCATACGTGCATCATTATTCTTGCTAAAAAGTTACAGGACCACACGACTACACACTCTCACACAGTCACGCACACACAGTCTCCCTTGGCTCCCCCTACGCCACATGTTTCTGCACCCCCCATACACACGTGCGCGCGCGCGCACGCACAGCAAAGCGCAGAGATTGAAAGAAGCATTAAATGCGACACACCAAAGAGCTGCCAGCGGTTTCAGATCCTCTCTTTAGTGACTAAAAGAGTATCGACTGCTGGCACCTGTGCCTTGCTCAGTGGCAGTTGTGCCACGTCTATTATGTAGGACACGACTGCCTAATATGGATGTACCCCCCCCCCCCCCCCAAACACACACACACACACACACACACACACACCTCCCCACAGCGTCCACCACCTCTATCTGCACCTGAGTGAACTAAATAATCTTTCTTTAAAAAAGAAAAGCTGGAGAGACAGTTCTTCCTCCTGATGATTCCTGAGCCGAGCTGCCTTTTGTCATCTTCTCCATCTCAGTGTCTGCCATCTGTCTGATACCAGCATTGCCCAAAAATAAAGGGAGGAGAGGAGTGAGCTGGTGGAAAGTTTTCTTCACTGCAAGGATGTCACAGGGGGTGCTCTTTCTCACCCCTGATCAAACCATTTCACTCTGATTTCATTCTAAAAACCGCTTTCTACTTGGATCTTCATCACACCAATGTCCCATCAAACTGATATAAGTCATAAAGTGCAAAGAGTAGAAATGAGCCTAAATATATAATAAACGTGTAGAAAACTAGCTGATCGCCAACGGGAAACCGGAAAGGACATATTGGTGTTATTTTAATCAACCACAACACTCCTGCCTGCATAACCTATTTATACATCCAAGATCAGACAGCCGCCTTCCACTTCCAGCCCAATGGAAACACACAGGGAGCTTCATCGGGATCCGTGCGTGCGTGTGCGTGTGTGTAAAAGAGAATAAAACACAAGGCATACCTGCTTTATCCACGGCAGTAATCCAGGGTGACTCCAGGAAGCACCGACAATCTTAAAGGTGAAAGCATGCTCTTTGCGGCGTATGCTGAAGTGCATGATTGAGTAGGTCGAGTCCATTCCGTCCTGCGAGGGGAGGCTGGAGCTGTGAATACTCTCAGCAATCACGTGTTTGACACTTTTATGTCATTTTATTGCGTCGGCAATACCTAAAAGCACGCTGCTTGTTAGTAAACACCAACTGAGCCTGTTAAATAATCCCACGTTATTCCTGAGTGAGAGCTGGGATGATTTCCTGACACCCCTTTTTCCGGAAGCAATGGTATCGCCTGCATTAAATGGAACTATCTGCTATTGTCTCATCAGCGAAAAGTTGTTGATACCGCTGGAAGGACTCCGGAAAAAGTGTGTGAAGGGTTACAGACACATTTAGACTCACGCACGGGTTATTAGTCGTGTCTTAGCACAGAAAACAACAAATACTCGATAGAAATGTAACAATACACTTTTGTCTGCCGAGTGACTTTATATTGACAGTTGTAGGGTCCTTACACCCCATTGTTAGCCCACATTCTGACTGCTCTGTCTGTGAAGGACGCAAAATAGTTCTGTAGTTAAGTTTATTACTTATAAATACAACCAGACATCAATAATTGAGTCTAATGTACTTGTATGCACCAAAGGTGTATTAACAACTTAAATATTTTAATATGTTTACTCTGAAATGCTGTTAAACTACTCAAGTGATTCTTGTTTCCACGTGGAAACAAACTCATTATGTATTTATTTAACCAAAATGCTTATACAATTTTAAACATTTTTAAAGCGTGAACACATTTGTTGTCTTGCTGTTTATGATTGTTGCTGGTATGTTGTTCACACTCTGCCAAGCAGGTTCTCAACCCTTTTACGCATATGCAAATGAAGCTTCCTGAGCACAACAATAACTGCACAGCATACTAACAACTCACACTTAAGTTAACACATTTTGCTGCCACCTGTGGCTCTGAATGCACATATTGATTATTTTACTGGCTTACTCTGTAAACAGCTATATCATTAGACAGAGCACGAGCCAATAAAACATCAGCTGCAGAACCTGAAATTCCTGAAAAGCTTGAAGATTAATCTGATCACCAGAACATATGAAACTGGGCAGGTACACTTTTTGGTTCCAGTAAAAAGAGCACAACATTTTTCTGGGTGACTCAGCACTTATCACCCCTCAGATGTGTGCTTTTTCTTTACTATCAGACATTAGTGTGGTATTCAGATCCACCCGGAGTGTTGTTGACAAAATGAGCTCCAGCTTTATGTGCACTAAGTCATGTGTAATAACTGTCACTCCTCTGTGTTGTTGTGGGTGTTATGCAGAGGTCAGGGCTGTTTGCTCAGCTCCAGTGCAGTGACAAGGAGCTGTGTAGCTGACTGCAGATGTACCAGTGACTCGAGACACACGGACATCTTGTCAGCATCAAGCCCTTGGATTGTGACGGCAGGCGCGGCTCTTAGGATGCGAACTGCTCAAGGCTTCATCTGGGTTCCTGAGATACACACACACCCATTTACTAAAATGCATCACTGCCTCTGCAGTAATCAGAATCAACAGACCCAAGCATGGGAACACCTGAGCACACAGAAGGACACACTCATAAAAAATGTTTTACCCTTGATTAAAACTAAGCTATTGAGCAAAATAAAAGACATTGATGTGAACATACTTTGGGTAAAAATACACACAGACATATGTGTGGTGAAACAAAACAGAGCCTGTAATGCATTAGTCACTGGTCAGATACTTCCTGCTAAAAGAGGGCCATCTTTCTCTCCATTCTTGCTTTCCCTGGTCTGAGGGAATGTCAAGTCAAACACACACCAAGGTGTCCTCTCCCCCTCTGTCTCCCCGTCTCCGTCTCTTTTTCTCTGAACTAGTCGGCAGAGCAGCCTCTCTGACGTTTTCTGAACGCCCTTCAGCCTGCACCCACTCAGCAATTTAAAATACACCTCAGTGAACCTTCACCTTAAAAACAGATGGGTTTAAAAAATCCTCTCTATTGTTCTGGGGATGCATGTAGACAGGCAATGCATGCATGCAATCTGCACACATGCTGTGTGTGCATGTGCAGCAGACACATGCACACACACCTCAGGGCAGCTCTTATAATAGCTAACCCTAGTATCAACACAACGATGTACAGTTTTCCCAGCCAGTGCTGATTTATATATTAGTGTGTGTAATCCCTGTGTGTGCAATACAGAACTTCATTATGAATTATGTTTGTGGGTTACTGAGAGTAAAGATAAAAATAGACAAATTAAAGATTTAGCAGCTCCCCAAGAAATACATCTATCTTACCACTTTTAATGCAGCAATCCATACTTTTCCCTCTTTCACAAATTATGTTTGATTCTTTGAGAAATCCGTAAAAGTGATGGCCTGAAGACATCAGATGTCGACCACAGAGCAGGCGCACACACTCAGAAATTAAAGTACAGAATTGTACCTTTAGGGGTACAATGTCTTGTCACTGGCGTGGTAACCTCATAGGTACCACCATACCATTAACTGTGGGTACAAATGTGTACCCTTGTAGTTTGTATCTTTTTACATGCCAAACCAGTAACTTCATGCAGTCGGAAGGACAGCACAGAGGCACTAATGGCTGCACAGAACAACAGAGGCCAAGAAGTGTGTGTTTTTATTTCAAGATCACAAGGATATTAGACCCTAGATACAAACTCAAAAATACTTGCTAGAATTATTTACTTTCCAAATACAATGCAGACCTGTTACAAACTCATCAATAGTATGTGTCAAAAGCTATCAAATGCTATTAGAACGTTTGTTATCCATATATGTATGCTTCCATAAGAAAATTAAGCCACACTGTCTCGTTTCAAAAATAATTAATTAGTTCACACGTTATTTAATTTTTAGTTAATATTTTTATCCAACAAATAATTTTACAATGATCTTTCAGTGCTTGCACAATGGTGAACAATGAAACTATGAAATCCATTTGCAGAAGTAAAAGAAATAAAGAAAACAATCTTTAATATAAAATATAAACATTTTGAGACACTTCACAAAACAAAAACATTAAAATATAACAAAGATTTCAAAGAATGATAAAAATAAGTTTAAAATGAGAAAAAATTAAAAATTTGTGATTAAATGTATGAGGAAAGGGAGAGAGAAAATTAATAGGAAAGAGGGAAATCAGTGGATCCTGGGAAGGGCAGGATAATAGCTTTGTTAATGGATGGTTTTTAGTGAAAGAGATCATGACCAGAAATTACACCTTTTGAAAGAATGGGTACAAATGTGTACCTTTTCCTACTAACTAACATATATATGTACGGAATGTGGATGGGGAAGAAAAATAGGTAATTTGAGGCACTCTGAAAAATGTTTGTCTTATTACGAATATGTTTTTATTGCTTTTAATAAAAAATGTATTAGATCCTGAAGAGCACCTGAAATATATATTTAAAATACTTTATGCAAACCCCACTGATGTGCTCACTTCCACTTTTTTTTTTTTTTACATAAATGTACCTTTCAGACAACGAGAACGGTACAGATAGATACCCATAGGTCCAATATTTGTCCTATGGCTGGGTTAATGTCATTTTTGTCCCTTGGGGCACAACAATGTACCCTTTCTGTGCCCCTATTTTTTACTGTGCGTCTTTGCAGAAGTCAAGCAACACATCATAAATAGTTGTTAAACTGCTATTTTAACTGAACTTTTCTCTCATGTTGTGACCCACTTTCTCCTTTAAAGTAGACCCCCCCCCCCCACACACACACACACACACACACACACACACACCTTATCTTTACATGGTCCTGTTCTGCACCAGAATGTGCCGCTATCACAAACCTTCTCCAGTGACTGACACCTTCAGCCCCTTGTGGTCAATTAGGTTGTAGTGCATTATCGGCCGCGTGCTAATTGTCAGCTGGCAAAGGAGAGTTGGGGGGGAGGCTCAAGGAGATGCCGTAGGGAGTGCTGAGGTGGGGGGGTGGCTCTGCTGATGGTGACTGTGGTGGGGGCTTTGTTGCCTAACCAGCCCAAGAGCACATATCTCAGAGCCACGCAGCGTGAAAAATTCATGGGATATATCACATTCCCTCTTTTGCATTAGACACATATGGCAATGTTCCTGTTGGCCTCTGACTCCACACCTCACTCTGTGTAGCAGGCTAGCAGCTGAAATCTAATTTCCTCTGCACAGCCATAAAATAAATACTCCTTCTT